TTTGAAATAAAATGTATTATTATTATTATTGTGGTAAAATCTATAGGATTTTACATTATTTAGATTCATGTGATTTTCAGATTAAATTATTGTTTTCATAATTACTGATTATTTTTCAGTAATTGTTCAAACATTCAACTGAACAGAACCAGAACCGACTGGGTCAGCAGAACCTGCTGCTAGTTCTGGGTGTTTCTGGGAGTCCAGAATGACCCGGTTCTGTTGGTTCTGATGACCCAGCGGCCATCTTTGACCCGTTCTGCTTCCCCTCCTCAGACACTGGCTGGCCGACGCCTACATCCTGTTCGCCACGCCGTATTTCTGCTACGACCTCTTGGCCATGTTCCTGTGCTACTGGTTCAGGCTGCGGGTCAAAGGTCACCAGGAGGCGGGGCCTGACGGTGGCTCGGTGTGCACCGCGGTGTTGGGTTTCCTGCGCCGGGAGGTTCTGATGGTTCTGCATCACGTCTTCATGGTGGCCTTCTGTTGCCCCGCCTCTCTGGTAACTATGGCAACGCTGGATCCAGTTCAGGAAGAAACTGGAACCAGTTTGATGAGAAACTGGAGAATGTCTGACATCACATGTAAAGTTCTCCAACTTCTTCATCTGTGGTTCTGTTTTCTATTCTGGCCCGGTTCAATATCGGGTCAGAACCAAGAGGTTCTGGTCCAAAAGCCTGACTGAACTGTTCGTTAAACCAGCTCTAATCTAGATCTGAAACCAGATTAAACCTAAAAATCAATTCAGTTTGAAACTAAAACTGAAATTTAAATGTTAAAAACTGAGTCAGAACCGGGTCCCAGTTCTGCTGGTTCATACCAGGCCAGAGGAGTTCTGTTGGAGCCTGTAATGAAGCCTCCAGCCTGGAGGTGGCGCCACCAGTCTGTTAAATAGCCTCATTAACTGACTGTGAAACCAGGTTCTGGTTCTGGAAAGAAGAGCCTGTTAAAGATGAGACAGAACCGCCTGGTCCAGATGGGTCAGGGAGCCGTCCATAGGTCGCTGACCCCTGACCTCTCTCCTTCCAGGTGTGGCGCCAGGGGCGGGGCGATTACTTCCAGGGCCTTTTGTTCCTGGCTGAGCTCAGCACACCGTCTGTCTGTCTGGGGAAAGTTCTGATCCAGGTAACCTCATGCACTGGACCCGGTCTGACCCAACAGAACTGCTCAGAGTCCGGTCGGGTCCAGGTGTTTGTACCTGACCAGGTGTCTCCATCAGTTCCAGAGGCAGGACTGGCTGCTGCATCGGGTCAACGGCGCCGCCCTTCTGCTCAGCTTCTTCTGCTGCAGAGTTCTGCTCTTCCCCTACCTGTACTACGCCTACAGCAGGTAACCTGACCTCACCTGACCTCTCTGACCTCACCTGACCTCTATGACCTCACCTGACCTCTCTGACCTCTCTGACCTCACCTGACCTCTATGACCTCACCTGACCTCTCTGACCTCTCTGACCTCACCTGACCTCACCTGACCTCTCTGACCTCATCTGACCTCACCTGACCTCACCTGACCTCTCTGACCTCACCTGACCTCTCTGACCTCGGGTCGGCCTGCTGGCAGGTGAAGCTGACATGAGGAGGTCAGGAGCTTCACTGATCCTATTTACCTCAGATCATCTGTTATTATTCAAGCTGACCACAGCGCCCCCTGTCTGCTGCTGCAGGTACGCCTCCATCCCGCTGTACCGGGTCCCCCTGGTGGCCCCCTGGCAGTGCAACCTGGGGGCCGCCCTGCTGTGGCCCCTGCAGCTCTACTGGTTCAGCCTGATCTGCAGAGGAGCTCTGAGGGGACGCTGAGGGGACAGGGGGAATGCTGAGGGGACAGGGGGACACTGAGGGGACAGGGGGACGCTAATGGGACTTGGGGATGCTGAGGGGACAGGGGGACACTGAGGGGACAGGGGGACGCTAATGGGACTTGGGGATGCTGAGGGGACATGGGGACTCTGAGTGGACAGGGGGACGCTAATGGGA